AATCTGAATAGAGGCGGTCCGGGCTGAAGTTCTTCTCGGCACACACTCTGAGGGCTACCCTGATCGCAACCAGCTCGGCTGAAAAGACCAATTCGTCCACTCTGAGTGTTAAGCTTTCTTGGAAGATCAGCTCTCCATTAGTGAAAATCACTACTCCAGCTCCAGTATTGGTTCCAGACTTACTCCCATCAGTGAAAACCTCCGTGCCAATCCCTGTCGGCTCTCCAGGACTCCAATTCCACTTTGGCAACCACTGCGGTGGCTTCCTTGGGTCCCTCTTACATTCCAGAGCACCCGCCCCAAGTCCCAGGGCATCTTCCCTGTTCTCCCAGATCTTCTGTCTGATGGTCTCCTCCTCTAGTTTCAATCCCAGGGGAATAAGCCCAGCGAGGACCAAATAGGCCTCACTGCTGGTAGTGCGATATCCCCCTATGATTCTGAGTGCCACTGTCCTCTGCACGCTCTCTAGAGTTTTTGCCACCTTCTCGCCACCATCTCCTCCGCCTGGTATTGCCAACCCATCTTGTCATCAATGACCACCCCCAGGATGGTCATCCTATTGACCAACGCTACCCTCCGTCCTTTCATCCGGATAGCCGGCTTGTGCTCCCATTTGATCCCTTTCCTTTTAGTGCTTATGTCCCTAGGCTTAAAGCTGAGGGCTTCAGTTTTGGAGACATTGAACTTAAGGCCAGAGTCATGGGCCCCGTTCGAGAGGATTTGGAGAGAAGTTTCAACACACTTCTCAGCCTTCGCTCTCGAAGCAGCCTCAATGATGAGGAACTGGTCGTCAGCATAGATAACCAGCCAGGCTCCCTCAGGTAGCTCCTCCTGGAAAACGGTGTTTACCAGGATATTCCACAGAATAGGTCCGCAGCAAGAGCCCTGGGGGCAACCCCTAGCACAGTTTCTCTCCAACTTCCGCCCACCAAAACTGAGGCTAATCCGTCTATCCCTCAGGAAGTCACGAAGCAAGCTGCACAAATTATCAGGACAACTCATGTCCATCAAATTTCATCAGCTTGTTCCAGCTCATGGAGTTGAACGCGCCATCAATGTCCAGGGCCACGAGAAGAACCCAAGCACCCTTATTTAAGCCCATCTCAACCCCCTCTAACACCTCGTTCAGAGCTGTGGTTGTGGAGTTCCCTTCCCTAAAACCATGTTGGAAAGAGGAAAGGAGCTCATTACTCTCTAGCCAGTGCTTCAGTCGCTGAGCTAGTAGGCTATCCAGGACCATACCTAGACACACTAGTAAAGAAAGCGGACGATAATCATTAGGAGAATTACCCTTTCTACCAGACTTTTCGAGAAGCACTACTCGGGCAACCTTCCATGCCTCAGGAAAAGTACCAGTGTCCAGGCACCTATTGAAAAACCTGGCAAGAAGTGATGGGTGCATTCTTAACAGGGCTTTCACGACCGTGTTATCGATCCCTTCGGGACCAGGAGATTTCCTTTTCCCGAAATTGAAAGCCGTCAGTTTCACCTCATTCTCAGAAAAGGGCGGATCCACCAAACCACAAGTGGTCAGAGAGATCTCGTCTTCTGGTTCCTCGTTTCCGAAGTACCGATCCAAGTTGTTTTTATTTTATCTTCTGCTTTCGAGCGAGTAGGTCTAGAATACATTCTCTCTGAATTGTTGGTGGATGAAACAGCACCAGTGATTATTTTGGCCGCTTTTGCTTGAACACTGTCTAGTCTTACTTTTAGTGATGAGCTTGAGGGAGCCCAGACCGGTGTTGCATATTCCATTATCGGCCTTATTAAGGTGATATATGTTGTTCTGAGAATTCTGGGTTTTTCTCCCCAATTTGTTCCACATAGCCATCTCAGAATGTTTAGTTTTCTGGTAGCTCTATTTGAGGTGCTAATTATGTGTTTTGAAAATTCCAATTCCTCATTAATGACATTTAAAATAATTTTATTGATATCTTATCAATACATACAAAGTGCACAGTCTGCACTATTTAAAAAAAGATAATATGCATTATATACACTATGTACAATGAATATGGCGCCTCTGCCAGCGCTGCAGAGTTTGGTGGAGAATCGCCAGTGGGTCTCCAGCGACATCACGCATTTTGCGATCTACGATGAATACGTAGATCGCGTACTTCGCCGCTTAGGAGATGATGATGGCGTGGTCCTCGAGACCAACTGGAAAGATCCAGGACTGCAGTATCACACCTAGGTATTTTTGGATTTCTAATTTTATCAATTATTTGTTTGTTTATGCTTATTTTGTGGTTATATTTATGCCTTTTTCCCTGTCAGTGGAGAAGACGCATAGGTTTGGTTTTATTGGGTTTATGGTCATTTGGAGTTCCATTGCCCACTTCTCCAGTCCTCTCATTGATGTGTTCAGTATTTTTTACGATTTTTCTATGCTGCTACTTGTGTGCCATATGGCTATATCGTCTGCATAACAGGTAACCTTTGAGTCTTCAGTGAGGTAAGGATGGATGTCGTTAATATATAGCAGATAGAGTAGAGGGTTGAGCACAGATATTTGAGGTGCACCAGCCCATGTTCTTCCTTCCTTGGAAAATTCTCCATTGACCCAAACCTTTAACCTTCTTCCCCTTAAGAAGTCTGCAATCCAAGTTAAGGTTTCTCCTCTTACTCCGATGTTGTGCAGCTTTTCACGTAATTTCTCCCTCCACACTCGATCAAAAGCTGAGGTCATATCAATGAATATAGCCGTGGTCTTCTTTGGCGGTTTTTCCTGGAAAGAATCTATTATTGATTGACAGAAGTAGAACAGTTGATCAGTCGTACAGTGCTGGGATCTATAGGCAGTTTGGTAGAAGTTTATTTTATTATTGTTAGTGAGCCAGACTATGAGCCTAGAGTGGATAATCCGTTCTGTTATTTTACAAAGTATGCTGGTGAGAGCAATTGGCCGATAGTTCTTGGATTCCTTGGCATCTTTGTTTGGTTTCAGTATTGGCACAGTAATTGATATCTTCCAATTCTTTGGTCGTTTACCAGTTTACAATGAAATGTTCAGTATTCGTAGGAGTTGTTTATTAGCTTTGTCTTCAAAGTTTTTAATCATTTGACCAAAGATTAGATTATCTCTTGGTGACCTCTTGGATTTTTTTATTGATAAGTTTAGCTCATTCAGTGTGAAGTCTCTCGAGAAAATATCTTGTTGATGTGGAAGTTTCTTGCTTGTTTAACTAACTGGTTTATATTATTTTTAGAGTCCTGTCTTCATTCGTATATTTGAGTATGGAAGTGCTTGAAAGATATTCAGCAATTATCTTAGCCATCTGTTTGTTCTCGTTCTCGCTGTTCTATTCATATCGGTTAGAGTATTGGAGGATTGGTGTTGGTTTTGATTGTTTTCTAACACTCTAATCATATTCCAGTGTTGGCTGTCCTTTCTTGGATCCATTTTTTCGCAGAATTCTGCCATTTTTCTCTTGTTTGCATATCCAAATTTCTTGTTCTATTTTGTGACTAATTTCAATGTGTTACTTTCTCTTTTCTTTTGTTTTATTTTTTAAAGAAGTTCATTGATATTGTCTCTCTCTGCAATCATTGCCTCGATGTTGTGGTCCTTCCAGTAAGGTATCCACAGGTCTAACGTCTCCTTCTAGGTATCGATGCTTTTGCAGCTTTTGATATATTCGAAGAGAAGTTTTCCAAGTTTTTGTCAAACGTTCTGTAATTCAATTTTTCGTTGCACAGTTCTTCAAGCTTTTCTGTGAATTTTTTTCAAGTCGGCTTTCCTAAAGTTCCATGTTCTTTTATTCTGTTGGACATTCTCAATTTTGAAGTTTAGGGTTGTTAAAATTGGTCTGTGGTCACTGATTGCACCTCTGAGGATTTTCCATTGTGTTGTGGGTGCGATGTTGAAATTTATCGCTGTGATGTCTATTGCGGATTCTGTGCCTGTGTACTTGGATAGATAGGTGCTCTCTCCCTTATTTAATGGTGTACGGTCGAGGTCGGTGACCTTTGTTATCCTGGACAGATGATCCCCAAGTTGAACTTTTGGCGTTAAAATCGCCGAGTATGATTGTGATATCCGAAGAGGCTTCACTTAATGTCTCTATTGTGTGTACCCATACAAAATTCAAAGATTTCACGAGCTGAAAGTTGGCGATTTTGAGATGCGTCAAGAATTCGCTGCATGGGTTTTCCGGCAAATTGATTTTGATGAAAACTGGCTGTCGAATGTTCTGTGGACAGATGATGCTCACTTTTCTCTAAACGGAGAATTTAACATTCAAAACAGCCGCTTTTGAGCAACAGAAAACCCTAGGATTTTTACAGAAATGCCACTTTATCAGCCTAGAGTTACAGTTTTGTGTGGGTTCACTTCTTCTTTTATTATTGGGCCATTTTTCTTTGAAAAATCAATGGAAGAACTTTTAAAATCGTTTTTGTAACTGGTGAACGTAATGTTCAACTTTTTAGAGAAAAGGTAATGCCCATATTGCAGACAAGCACTAAGCGAAATAACATTCATGAAAGTTGAAGAACCTTCTCATATCTCCCGCGGTGCCAAACAATTGCTGAAGAATACGTTCGTTGAAAATCGTGTGATAAGTCGCCACTTTATATACCAGTGGCCTCCAAGATCACCAGACTTGACGCCTTGCGATTTTTGTTTATGGGGGTACATTAAATCGTGTGTTTATCGATGCTGGCCTACCACATTGGCCATGTTGAAGGCTTCTATCAGATGGCACGTTTTTATCAATTTCAACATATATGTTATTTAATGCTGTCCATTCTGTCATTTATCGTCTGCAGGCGGTGATTGAGAATGAAGGGTGCCACATTGAGCAAGAATTGTGACCTAATACAAGAGAGAAGGCAGTTACCTCATGTGTTATATAAGCTGCCATGTATTATATTATCTACCAATATTTTGCAGCTCTTTGTGTTGGGATATGGGGATAATAAATGCTGTCCTCACATCTTGACTCTTTTTTTTTTTTTGTGAACAGTAATATTTTGTTTGTCATTTGCTCACATATTATGTCGTGCAAATCAGAGTGTTATAACTTCTCGAATAACACTGGTACACACAATTTTTCCCCTTATGTTTGGTTTTTCGCTTTTCGCTCATTAGAAGTAATAGCATAAGGAATATTTTCTGTACACCAATAACTTTAGAAATTTTGTGCAAAAAAAATAATACAAAATGATTTTACTACCACGTTTTTCAACGCAAAAGGTTGATTTGAAAAATATTTTTATTTGAGGGGACACATTTTTTAAAATTGGGTACAGTATGAGAGAGAGTTGAATTAAAAATATTAGAAATTTATTATCTTCGGAAACAAACCGTATCTAAAATATCAAATTTTTTTTGCTACATGTTTTAATTTGCATTTACCTATTTTACATATCTCTGATTGTATTTAAAAATCGTTAACCAATTCTTCATATTTTTGGCGAAATGGTGTTTTATTAATTTGTTATTTGATATTATTAGGGTTCTTTCCTGGTATTCAAAAAGGAAAAATACGTGTCGATCAGTTATATTTTTCAATTTATCAAACAATTTGGCCGCTGAATCTCTGATTCTGGTAGTGCGCCATCTGGCGAATAAAATTGTAACTAAAATCAATTTCGAAATTTTCATTATTTGCCATAAAAAATCCCATTGCATCCTGAACACAATGGTGTTTACCGCATTGCTCTAGCGCAAATATTCGCGGAGTTATTAATTTTTAAAATAGTGCGGGACTTTTGGATCACCCTGTATATATATATATATATATATATATATATATACATATGTGGTGATTTATAAAGCAGTCGTGGTAGTTGTCTGGCAAGGACGCACACAGTATTCAGGAATAGGCCGAAGAAGGAACAGACACCGAAGACCACCCTGGGAACCACCAGCGTAGAGTCAACCTCCATGAGAACCTTTTATCGATAATAAAAAATCCAGATGTTTATAAACTCTTCTCAGAAGGATAAATTAGTCCCAAGGGAAGTAAGGTGACACGAGAAGCTCCCTAAAATGTTTGTTTTTATAAAAATGGACATATGTTCACCCAGGGGGTTATTCTAATCAACCCATTTTCTTTTTCTCTTCTCCTCATACAAGATATCCTTATTTAAATATTTTGACATATATACATATATGGTAAACTTTATCTGTTTAAAAAGTGTATTGACAAAATTAATGTCAATATATACCTTCAAACTCAATGTTGTTGTCGTGTCTAATGAAGAACCTCAGATGTCCCCGTGTATCTCTATCACAGCATTTCTCTTCATTGGAAAATAGGTTCCGTTAGTCACCTTGGAAACGAGCCAGAATTTGGTCAAATTTTCCAAGGGTCCAGGAGGGACCGCAGAGAGGAATGGTCGGACTTTTCTTTATGGAATAAAAAAAGAAATGGGAGACCTGAGTTGTCACGAAAGGTGTCTTCTGATGATAGTACCCAATTATACATCCAAGTATGAAACTGAACCATACAAACATTTTACATGCAGTTAGGTTCTTCATCTAAGCGACTTCCATGTCTTTGGTTCTTTCAGAAAATCTCTGAGAGGACGCAATCAAAAGTCGGACCTCGCGGTGGATAGATTTTCATGTTCTCAACCACAATCTAAGTACTGTATAAGCACTTATATGAGCAGAGAAATATAAATCTTATCTACAAGTGGATGGAGAATGAGTGTTATGACAGTGTTTATATTCGAAATAAGTTATTTTCGTTCATATACACCATCAGGAGATGCTTTATTCTTAATTTATCCACTCGATCCCAATACAATCTCAAGTTTTTGCTATTTTTTCTCTTAGACTTTTGTTTTGGTTTTGATGCCTCTATTCCTTTAGTTTTAAAATATAACTGCATGCCATTTTCTAATTCAACATGCTGTATTTCACTAATTATAGGTTTATTATTAATGGGTCTGAATTTTAATTTTATTTAAACCAAAAATCACTTTTTTATATGTACAGCTTTTATTCAAATGTAATCTAATTTTGATTCTGAAAACTCCCCTTGGAAATTAATTTGACAAAAATAAAACAAATGTTGATTAAACCGACTAGCCAAAACCTGGAGAGTGTAACAATATCACCACATATATATATATTTATATATGCACCTATATATCTTTTCTTATACGTTTTATACGTCTCATGATGTGTGAAAAATAACTTTATTATTCTCTTTTCATTTTATAAGAAATATTTACTGAAATATTTGTTACGCAAACTTTGACTTTAATCATCATAGATGCTGACGTCACTACGATGACGTAACTTCCAAATTCTACCCTTCAACCTTACTGTTATTGTTTACCGCTAACTTGTCTTAACAATATATGTAATGGAACAAGTCGTTCCTTAAATAAATATATATTTGTTTTTATCAGAAGGGATGTCCTCGTAACTACAACATACGTGAGTACAAACAAAACAACCAGAAATCCTCAAAAAGAATAACCATATTTTGCTAAGCCTATATCAATTTGGTAGCAGTGCGTTGTTTGGGCGCGCGAATTGGACTAACCGCCAATTGATCCATTTAAATCATAAAGAAAATAAATAATTGGACTAACCGCCAATTTAGAAAATAAATATTGAATGAAAAATGGATACATATAACTTAGCAAAAATCGAACAGTTAACAGAAAACAACTATACAACGTGGTCCATGAAAATGGAAGCAATTCTAGATTCAAAAGATCTCTTCGAGGACGTAATTGTTAATGACGAGCCAGACTTTACAAAAAATAAACTAGAATATGATATTTGGAAGAAAAAGAATCGGGAAGCATACAGCCTAATAATATTGTCACTTTCGGATGACTTAACAATCATCTTTCGAGACGATAAAAGAGCCAAAAGAATTTGGTACGACATAAAGAAAAGGTTCGAAGGATCTCTAGAAAATAAAAGGATAGACCTAATGTTGGATCTAGCCAGACTAAAATTGAACCCAAATGAAAATGTCAACATGTATATTGTACGAGCACAGAAACTGGCACAAGAGATCACCCAGCTAGGAAAGACTGTAACAGAAAGAGAACTTGTACGATACATTGTTGAAGGACTCACACCTAACTTTGACACGATCGCAGCAGCACTGTCAATAAACAGAGGAATCTCCTTACCAGACTTGAGACAAGCTCTACTGGATTTCGAGAAGAAAAGACAGGACAGAAGCAAAAATCCTGAAAATGCTTTCAGATCATCAGGCAACCAATTCAAAGAAAAATCATGCTTCATTTGCAAAAGAAAAGGACATTTCAAGAAAGACTGTTGGTTCAACCCTGACAACAAAGGAAATCAAAAGAATACAACAAACAAAAATAACATGGCCAGTACAAGGAACTACCATAAAGGACCAAAACAAAACAAAGACACAGCCAGATCAGCAATCCAAGAACGAACGGAGGAACCATCCCAACGAAGAGACTCCACTTCAGAATACGCACTACATGCAAGCACAAGGGAGGAACGCCCGACAACTCAGGACGTGTGGATAATTGATTCTGCGTGCACAAGCCACATGACTTCCCATGGTGATTGGATCGAGCACAAGACGGAGGAGAGAAGAAGCATACAAGTGGCAGAAGAAGGGAGGCACATCGAATCTACCTCATCGGGATTAATCCAAGATACTGTACAAGGTAAGGACAAACTTAACAACGCTGTAACCCTGCATAATGTCGTCCATGTACCACAGCTGAAAGGAAATCTAATGTCCATTCCAAGCGTAGTAAGAAGAGGGAACTCTGTTCTTTTGAACTCTGAAGGAGCATACATATACTCTTCTGATGACAAGCTAATAGGAACAGGCAACTTTGATGGTAACATGTACACATTGAACCTATCACGTTTACCTGAAGCAACTCATGTTCCAAATGAACATTGCTTGATTTCAAAGGACAATTCTAGGACTGCATGGCACAGAAGGTTAGGACATCCTAGTGACAACAAACTAGACCTGATTTTGAAGAACAATCTTCTAAAAGGCTTGAACGCTATAAATGGTACCCTTGATCAATGTGATGCTTGCTCCTTGGGAAAAATGACCAAAGTACCCTATGTTCACACAGATAACAATCAGGAAAGCTACCCATTTGAAGCCATTTATGTCGATCTCTGTGGTCCAATGAGAATAAACTCCTTGGGCGGAAGTAAATATTTCTTGACCATCGTAGATGGATTTTCTAGGAGAATATTTGTAGAATTTCTCAAAGATAAACTCTCAGCAGCAGAAGTTTTGAAGAAGTTTATTGTAAAGAGAGAAAACGAACTAAACTCAAAACTAAAACGACTTAGAACAGATAACGGAACAGAATTTATCAATAAAAACCTTGAAACCTTCATAGAATCCAGAGGAATTAAACATGAACTAACTACACCGTACACCCCAAGAAGCAATGGGAGAGTTGAAAGAGCTAACAGAACACTATTAGACAAAGGCCGAACACTTCTGGCAGACTCCCAATTACCCCTACACTTCTGGGCAGAAGCTGTGAATACAGCTGCATATCTGTACAATCTAACTCCCACAACCAATGACCCAGACACTACCCCTATGGAAAAATGGAAAGGTAAAAAGCCATCCGTCTCTCACATCATGAGATTTGGTTGTGAAGTTTTCTATAAACTCGAGAATCATCAAAGACACAAACTAGAAGCTAAATCTAAGAGAGGAATATTTGTAGGCTATTCAAGATGCAGAAGAGCTTATCGAGTATTTGATATCACAGCGAGAGTCATTCTTGAAACCGCAGACATTCACTTCAGAGAGAACAATAATGTCATCTCGGAAGAAAAACAAAGTGATAATAATACGGACACTGACACATATTTCTTCATTCAGGAGGATGAACAACTGGACAATCATGTTCTATCAGATGTTGATATTGAAGAGCCAGCACCAGATACCATGGTCAACAGACAGACAGAGTCAAGTGAATCAGACAGACCACAAAGAACTCGAACAATACCTAAAAGATTCGATGACTACGTTCTGGCTACTACGAATGAAACCATTCCGAAAGACTATGATGAAGCCATCGCATGCGAAGACAAGAAACATTGGGAGAACGCAATGCTTGAGGAAATACAGAACATGTACTCGCATCAAGTATGGGAACTGGTACCTAGACCTGTAAACGCTAAAGTTGTCAAAAGTAAATGGGTGTTCAAAATATCTAAAGACCAAGAAAACAAAACTTACAAAGCTAGACTTGTTGCAATGGGATACAACCAAATCCCAGGAAGAGATTACAACGAAAGTTTCAGCCCTGTAATTAAAAATGCCACCCTCAGGACTGTTTTGTCAATGGCAGCAACAAAAGATTCAGTCATTAAACTTTTTGATGTGAAAGCAGCCTATCTAAATGGAAACATTGAAAACACAATATTCATGGAACAACCTGCTGGATTTGTCCAAGACAGAAACAAAGTTTGCAAACTCAACAAAAGTATTTACGGTCTACCTCAATCCGGAAGATCGTGGTATGAGAAATTCAGTCAAGTACTTCATGACTGTGGACTGGAAAAACTTAAATCTGATCCTTGCCTATTTAAATGGAAGAATGAAGACAAATACTTCTATGTAGGGATATATGTTGATGACTTTATCACTGTCTCAGATTCTGAAGATACCTCAAACAGATTCATCAATAAATTGAGACATCACCTGGAAATAAAGGATGTAACATGTAAAGGCATGTTTTTGGGAATCAAGATCATACAAGACAAGGAGGGAATTTCGCTACAGCAACGCCACTATGTACAACAAATATTACAGAAATATGGAATGGAAAATTGTAAGGAAGTTCCAACACCAGGTTCCAAAGAAATCAATTTGGACAATCATATTGAAGATGACGATTGTGATCAGCACACTTACCAAGAAGCCCTTGGAATGCTAATGTTTCTAGCTGTTAACACCAGACCCGACATCGCTTACATCACTAGCAAACTTTCACAGTACTCCAGACAACCAAAACAGATGCACTGGACAGCAATCAAAAGAGTGATGAGATACCTACGAGGAACAATTGACCTAGGAGTGAAATTTGAAAGAGGGAAGACTGGAATCCTGAAGTCCTACGCCGATGCCAGCTGGTCGACCACTCATGACGGAAAATCCTACGGCGGATATGTATTGAAGCTCGGCGAAGCAACTATAGACTGGAAAAGTAGTAAACAACCACTCGTCGCCCTCTCCACAATGGAAGCGGAAATGATAGCTGCTTGTGAAAGCTGCTGTCAAATCAAGTGGATAATAAACCTGTTACGAGAGCTGGAAGAATGGAATTTCATGGAAAAACCAACTGCGATCTATACAGACAGTCAGTCATTGATCAACTGGATCTCCAGCCCTAAACAAAGCAGTCGCTGTAGACATATCAACAGAAAGTACCACTTCTTGAGAGACTGTTATGAATCCAGAGACATCTGCCTTCTGTACAAGCCATCTCAGGACCTGGAGGCGGATATCTTCACAAAGGACCTATCCCGAGACCAGATGAAGAAACACCTGGAGAGCCTCAGCATCGTGGGAATAAAGCCAAAGTAAGGAGGGAATTGTTACGCAAACTTTGACTTTAATCATCATAGATGCTGACGTCACTACGATGACGTAACTTCCAAATTCTACCCTTCAACCTTACTGTTATTGTTTACCGCTAACTTGTCTTAACAATATATGTAATGGAACAAGTCGTTCCTTAAATAAATATATATTTGTTTTTATCAGAAGGGATGTCCTCGTAACTACAACATACGTGAGTACAAACAAAACAACCAGAAATCCTCAAAAAGAATAACCATATTTTGCTAAGCCTATATCAATATTTAATATCATTAAATTGTTTCAAAATATATATTTTATTCAACTCTATATTTTTATTTCTTATATTATTCATTTTGTCATCTTAAATTCTCTTCAAAATATATTTTTCTTTTTTTTTTTCCTATTTTAATTATCCCAGATTCCTTGTTTGTGTATTACCGTATATTTTATTTATTAAATAGAATTATGTGTGTTGTTAGCCTATAATTTGGTATATTTGATCAAATCTATATTTTTATTTTTGTTGTCTAGACTATTGAAATCGAATAGATTTAGAATTTAACAATTCTTTATGCATATTTAATAAATATTATATATTGTTGTAAGATTTAAGTACTTACGGCTTGTAGGAAGGCATGAGGACGTTGAGGATTATATGATAATAATCTTTATTATCCATTTAGCAAGAAAAGACAAAGTTATGGTAGCGAACAGTTATAGAAGTATAGAGAAGAAGGTAAACAAACAGTTGTGATGATGATAGGTCCAGTGTGGCGCTAGCTGTCGTAGCATTCAGTTATCCAACAAATCCCCGGCATGAATGTGGAGACATCACGAGGTTGTAGCGTAACTTCTCAAATGTCGGCCTTGGTAGCGGCTTGGTCAGAATGTCCGCCTTCATGTCGCCAGTTGGGCAGTAGATCATTTTTATCACTGTCTTCTTCTGAAGATCCTTCAGGTGATGGATCTTGGTTGCGATGTGCTTGGTTCTAGAAGACACTTTTTCGGATGAACATATCTTGAGACATGATTGATTGTCTTGGTGGAAGTAGATTGGAGCTTTCTGTTCCAGTTCGAGATCCTTTAGCAAGTCGAGAAGCCATAACAGTTCTTGTGAGGCTTCAGCTGCGGAGATTAGTTCCGCTTCGGTGGATGAGAGAGATACGCAACCTTGTTTCCCAGTCATCCATGAGATGGGGTTTGAACCCAGTAGGAACAAGTTTCCGCTTAGTGATTTTCTGTCGGTGTTGTCGCTTGCCCATGTGGCATCGCTGTATGCTTCCAGCGTGGGAGGTTTTTGGTTAGATATGCGTAGCTCGAGTTCTTTAGTAGTTT